AGAGAGAGAGAGAGAGAGAAAGAGAGAGAGAGAAAAAAAGAGAATGCACGGGCCTGTCCCGGTCACCAGGGCAAGAACGGAGCAGGCACTGACCTTTGGGGGTGGGGGGGTGGGGGGGGGAAGAAATATTCGAATGCAACAATTTTCTCGTCGTGAAATTCGAATATAAGGCATGCGCGTAGTATTTGAATGGAACACGTGCCATATTCGAAGTGCCCTTGTATTCGAAGAAATTGGTCAAACTTTTCGAAAACCGGCTTTTTTGGAAAACTCGAATACAACGCATATGCGTTATGTTCAGGGGAATACGGTAGTTGCTTCCTGTTAGAGACTGTTTTCCACCTCAGGCTGCTGTATCTGCTGCTCTTCTGGCAAGGATGGAGGAGATCCGATTACGGGTGCAGCCAGAGGCTGCCCAACGTTGCATGTGAGACATGAACTGCAAGCATGTGGCGGGTGATGGCATCAGGGATAGTTTACACAGTGCATGTGTGTATGCGTGTGTATCGTCCCTCTCTCTTCTTTTTGCCCCCCGAAAATACGAGGGATACAGTCACGACATGACACACATAATAACAGGGACACCGCTGTGACAAGACACACAACTTGACACAAGACAACGCCTGCAGGATGCAGCCACACCCGACGGCAGGAATGGAACCATTGTGCAGAACAACAATAGTGGTAACACAAAAATAATAAACGGTGCAAAAAGACAACCTTTACAAAAACGACGAGAGTGAAACGACAACGTGAAACCATGCAAATGGACATAATAGGAAGCACAAAAAGGTCTCCTTTTACTGCACAGCCCATTGTCGCCCCCTCGTCAACCGGCGGTTCTAGGAAAGCGGCCACCTAAGGAAGGCACAGCTGCCGACTCCGGATTCCAGGTTGACGCTCAATCTGCACGAGATCCACTCATCGTATCTGATGGCTCATGTCCTCACGCTGGACATCGCTCAGCACATAGCACCTAGCAGATAGCACCTTGACCTGGTTGGGCCAGCAGCTGATGCCCTATTATGTTTGTCGGAGGGACAAGGTATGACTGTTTCCTTTCTCCTTTGTTCCTTCCTGTCTGCTATTTCTGCCACATTTTTTGTGCTTTCCAACTTATCCTTCCATTTTTCCCTTCAGCTTTGCACTTTCCTCTTTGACAGTCAAGACCGTACCAACTCCGTTTTCCAGGTTGACGCTCAATCTGCACCATCCCCACTCATCGTATCTGATGGCTCATCTCCTCATGCTGGACACGGCTCAGCACATGGCACCTTAACCTGGTCGGGCCAGCAGCTGATGCCCTATTATAGTTGTTGAGGGACAAGGTATCACCGTGTCCTTTCTCCTTTGCTCCTTCCTGTCTGCTATTTCTTTCACATATTTTGTGCTTTCCACTTATCCTTCCATTCCATTTTCCCCTTCAGCTTTGCACTTTGCGCTAACGCAAAGTTCTGAATCTTAATTGGGGAATACGGCCTTGTGGTTAGGAAGACGACCCGTTGTTCGTGGTGTTGCTATGAATCCTGTAGACCATCCTCATGGAGGAGGAGGAGGAGGACGTACCAAAGGAGGTCGAGGGTCTGTTTCTCCTTGGGGAAAACCAACCAAGCCTCCAAAGGTGGATTTAAAACAGCAGTACAGTCAAGACCGTAAAATGCAGTTCCCTGGTCCCGAAGTTTGGCACATCTGCTGTTTGCAGCAAAGCCTCACCCTGATATTAACCCCCCTGGAGCAGATGAAGAGGAGATCTGCGCCCACCTTTGCCACCACGAGTCTTTCCGTCTTTCCCCGAAACACAACGCACCCTCATTTTTGCTGCACCGGACCGGAAAAATGGCTTGTATACAGCTGTTATTAGGGTGCGTTGTGTTCGGGTGAAGACGGTAGTTCCGCAGTGCGAAAAATGGGGATCGCCCATAACAAAGAAGCGCAGAAATAAATTGATCAAAAGGATTAGCGGCTTGAAGCCTTGAACATATGAGGTTGAATGAAACAGTTATCAGCGGCTTGAAAATAGATAAGATAAGAGGACGCATAATTCCCATGAATGTGGTAGCTCTTTCGACCTACCACTTCGCCTCTCACCAACAGCAATAAGATATCTTCAAGTCTTGAAATTTACATGAAGCACAACATGAAATGACAGGAGGGGAGAAAGGTTGATGGAGAGATGCAGAGTGTGACCGTTATGAGAAAACACTTAGAAACACTCATACGTACCCTCGCGTTTGCCGGGATCAAGTCCACGTCCTTCAGGAAGGCATCGCGGGTCATATACTGACGGCCATCCACCTTCTGAAGAAGCGTTGCAACATCCATTGGATTTTGTACAGTCTTCCTGTAATTTGGCGCATCTTCATCCTGTACCGGAAAGTGAAACATACTAAACTTTTTCTCGTACAGAAGCCTGAAAAGTATTCCCAAGTTGCGCATAAAAAAGACAGAGACAGAGAACCCCACACGAGTTCAGACGGGAGCATACAATCCATTTGTGAGGGACGTTATTCCTTCTAGGTCTGTAGCAGCAGTATGGTTTGAACTTCGAACGAATCGTGCTTACTTTGTGGCAGTATTCCGTCTACCTTCTTCCCCCGAATACAATGCACTGTCATTATAGCTGTATTTGGGGCATCTTTCAGTCTAAATACAGCTATAATGACCATGCGTTGTATTCAGGGGAAGAAGGTAGGTGTGTAGTAGTATGGTTCGAACTTTGAACTAAATCGTGGTTACTTTCTGGCAGTATTCCTCCTAGGTGTGTAGTAGTATGGTTCGAACAAGACAAAGACAGGAACCCCACAAAACTGGGAAATTTTGGAAATTTCGGACATCCAATTTCATGCAATTAAAAAAAAAAAATTCCCATTTTCAGACTAAATCGTGGTTGCTTTCTGATTCCTGTTTGTCCTTTGCGTGTGCAACATTGCAAACATTAACTGAGTCTGGATCTCCAGATATAATCTACACATGTAGAATCGTATCATAGATGGATGCATGCAGGCCCACATCCATGCAAACATTGCAAAGTCACAAATGATGAACTCCCTTTCGCAGCGTGCAGATCTGCTAAACAGTCAAAACAGACTCGGCCCCTCAATCCGATTAACAGTCTGTCACATCCTGACCTGTTGCACACGTCCCGTAGGCACATCCGAAGCCGCCGAAGCCCATGCTCTTCTGCCTCTGCCCTGGCTTTCAATTCCTCCATCGACCTATTATCAACTCTCGGAGCCTTGGGAAGGTCCGGAAGGGCGACCTTCTGCTTCTGAATCTCCGTCTTGCTTGCCACATGCTTCGCTGCCGCCCTAAACACTGGATCAAAAAACTCCTCCCTTTGTTGATCAGTTGGTGAGCCAACTCTGTATCTGCATGTACCGCACCAAACACAACGGAAAGCACACACCCGTGCCTTGTGTCATTCTCACTGTCTTTGTTGTCCTGATTGACGGCAAACCATTCCTCTGCTTTCTTTTCCTAGTTCAATCACGCTCCTATCTTTTGCACCAGGCATTCACCATAAGGTTGCATTAAACTGAGGATCGTCTAGAGGCTCATCTCCACAACATTTTAGAAATAAACAGAAAAATCCGAAAACACGCACATGGTAGGCTGCAGAAGAGTACACTTATGCAATGAGGACCTGGCAAAGAACACCAGAACACACAAAATGTGTAAAGTGGGTTGGTCCCACACCCTGCACAGGAAAAATCTTCATCAACTTCACGCATTGGAAAAAACGCACAATCCTTTTCAGATCCCCAACGGTTCATGACCGCAGTCCTGGGACCGAAATGACTCTGAGGAACGCACTGCTTAGAACCAGGAATGAAACACTACGCGCCTGATGTAGCCAGGGCAGCTTAATCAGAATCAGCATAGTGTGTGGAATGCCCCAAAGGCGCTAGGTTGGCAGCAACCATAGGATCAGAGCAGTCAGGGGAGGAAATTGGGTGAGATCATTAACATTATAAGGTCTCATCAACTGAGAAAGTCCAAGCACTGACAGTGATGAATCACACAAATATCCTAGTTGGATTGGCAAAAGAGGAACACGGCCAGCAGTATAGGTGTTTCCAACGGCACCCCATTTTATAGACACGGTTGTCAGTTCATCAACACACCAAACCAGGCATCCAAAGAAGGTCAGGCCCTGCCAGTGCTAAATTCATCGCGAGAAAGAAAGCATGGGCCTACTCATAACAGTGGTCAGGTTCAAGTTTGTTACCACGAAAATACCGCCTGGGAAGTCTGGCCCAAACTTCCAAAAAATATGCAAGTTGGCCTGACAGTGCTGACTGTAATGTGGCAAACCTTACCAATCACTGTAGTTACTGTAGTTACTGTAGATACTGTAGTTACTGTATAGTTACTGTAGATACTGTAGTTACTGTAGATACTGTAGTTACTGTATAGTTACTGTAGATACTGTAGTTACAGTAGATACTGTAGTTACTGTAGATACTGTAGTTACTGGAAAGTGTTCACATACAAGCACTCCTGACAGTTGCTGACGTTACTGTACTTACTGAAGTTCATGTTATCACAGGCCTGAAAGTTACTGTAGTTACTGGAGTAACTGAAAAGTGTCTACATCCATGCAAGTATCATTCATATGGATTGGGCAAACCTGTCAAATTACTGTAGCCACTTCAACTTTAATCTGCACAACCACTCGTCACTTGCACGCCTATGATATGGTTAAAACCGTATAAAACGTAAAAGGGGACATCAGTTGCTTTTGTTTTTGTTTCCTTCCTTTCGCAGAAATTTCATGCTACTTTTGTTTTTGAGTTGTGACGCGCTTTTCCACACAGGGGTGTTGTGGGATTTGAATTCGGAACTTGCCCAATAACTTGCTGTATTTCAAGCAAGTGCAATCAGACTCGCTTTCTTCTTACTTCGCATGCATGTGAACAGATGGCAAAGCACTCTGGCGCCAGGCGCCCACACAAAGCTCAGAGATATTACAAGCGAGAACACAGTTTAGATACAAACTCGCTTCAAGTAACTATGGCGCCTGTGCGCCCTTACATCACCCCTCACAACACTGTATCCTCTCAACTTGTCCACACACACACTTCACTGGACCTCCCTGGATATCCCAGGCGCATACACTCTCACTGCACACTCATATATACACACACTGAAGACTACTCTAACCTGGCGCAGCTATGGCTGCTCGCTAACCCTATCACTACTAGCAGCTATGGCTGCTCGCTAACCCTATCACTACTAGCAGCTATGGCTGCTCGCTAACCCT